CAGCTCTTGCACACATGACCATGGCACATGGTAACTTACCTTTCGTTTGCAGTTTCGGCATGCATCCATGAGCTGTTTGTACATGTTCATGTACCGCCGCTAGGGCCCTTGAGCGCATAGCAAAACGGGTGCGCAGCCCCGATCGTCATGTCGTTGTGAACCCGACACCTTTCCAGAGGGTTTGTGCATCGACCCCAAGCTCCACATACACCTCAATCGAACTCCGTCGATTGCATTGGTAGCGCATACCTACATATCCCCTCGTGGCTCGCAGCGGCTACACCATGGACCTCATCAACGAGGATGAGGAGGACAATGTGTCCTTGCTGTTGGAAGAGGATGATGAGGAAGAGTACCAGGAGGAAGCAGAAGAGGAGATCTCTGCCGAGCACGACGCCCCTGCTGAGGAAGACGGTGGCCCTTCACCTTCGACTCCAGCGGCGACTCGCTCAGGTCGCAATGGCCCGAGATCTTCTACCCCCTCAGTTGCTGGCAGCTCCAAGTCGCAAGGCCCTAAGAGTGCGGCCAGTCCTGGACCTAGCCCCAGCAAGGACTCTTCCAGGTCAGCTTCGAAGTCTCGCGGTCCTGAAGACCGTGGTTCTCAGAAGCGCCCTCGCGGGAATCTCCCGCCGGCGCCGAAATTCGACGGTGACCGCAAGGCCAATCCGAAGTGCTTCAAGGTTTGGCTCGGGAAGGTTGATTCCTACGTCGAGATAGCCCGCAAGATCATCGATGACTCGGAGATTGGGCTTCGACTTCATGCAGCCTTGGAAGGCAAAGCAGCCGAGTTCTTGGAGGACGTGCCCGCTCGCACCTTTGGCAAGGTGGACGGCTGGAGGATCCTTTTGAGGGTCTTGCAGGACAAGTTCGACGAGCCCCAGGTCCACAAGATCGGCAGCGCCATGAAGGGTTTCTTCAAGATGCAGTTGGGTTCTGGCTCTTGCACCATGCGGGAGGCAGCCGACGCTTTGGACAAAGCCCACCGAGACTGCAGAGACACTGGTTTGAGCATGCCGGACGCCGTGTTGATCTACTGGTACTTCGAGCATGCCGGAGTCAGCCAAGAGAGACAAGCCAATTTGCTCCTCCGTACGAACGGAGAGTACAACTGGAAGCTCATGAAGCAGGCCATCGACGTCCTCTACCCCAACACGCTTGTGGGCAACCGTCACTACACCCACAGGCCGGCTGGTAAAGGCCGTGGTGCACACGAGGCACACACTATGGATCAGCAGCAGACCGATGAGGTTCCGCTGCCCAGTTGGGACGCTTCAGAACAGCTGGAAGGCTGGATGATGGACTACGACCCTGTCGAGATGCTGGCGGACGTCGAGATGAACGGGGGCGTCCCTGAGGATTTGACTCGCGAGCTCCACCACTGCTTCGCGACCCACCGCGAGAACAGGCAGAAGCTCGCCAAGGCCGTGAAGGCCAGGGGATTCTATGTCTCCGGATCCTCGAATGCTGGCAAAGGCAAGAAGGGTCAGAAAGGCTCCAAAGGCAAGAAGGGCAAGGGATCTTCGAAAGGCGGCGGCAAAGCTCGTGGAGGCATGACTCTTCAGGAGTTGAAGGCCGTCACAACTTGCGGTGACTGCGAACAAGTCGGTCACTGGCGTGGAGATCCAGAATGCCCCAAACAGCGACGCGGTGCACATGAAGCAGGTCGCGGAGATGACCATGATCCTTGGGATGCTGACTGGTATGACGACGCTGACTACCAGTGGGATGATGGCACCTGGGACGAGTTCCAGGAGAACCAAGCGCGTGCTGCGCACACCGCCACTCGTCCTGTGCAGGTCAAGCCTACCAGAGCTCCACCTGCGCCAACTTCGTTGTCAGGTCGCAAGCTTGAGCCAGCTACATCCTACCGTTCCTCTCCGGCGACACCCGCGGACGAGAACCAGGTGAAGAAGATTGCGCGAAAAGTTGAAGCTCTCCGCAAGAAGGCAAAGCCCGATGCCTCTCCTTTGAGCCTTGGCGCTGTGCGAGAAGAGCTGGCCAAGGACAACACCTCGAGCAGCTTTGTTGCGACTGAACCTTCATCGAGGACGCTCGTGTGAAGAGCACCTACAGTCGTGCACCAGCTGCCGCGTCAGTTGCGGAAGCCATCCGCCACTATGACAACGACACCTACGAGGAGGTGGGAGAAGCAGAAGGCACCGGACATTGAAGCTCTTCGCCAACCTCGTCGCAACTTCATGACCCGTCGAGTTGGTTGGACCAATGTGGAGACCATTCCGGACTCCGACGATGAGGAGCTCCTGACAGAGCAACAGATCCACCGGCATGTCAGCTCCCTGACCAGGCGAGCACCAACTGTGCAAGACGGCCGATGCTACATCACGATCGATACCGCATGCGAGAACACTGTCTGCGGCTCCAGCATCTTGGATCTGATTGTTCGACGCTTTTTGGAGGACTACCACATCGTCCCCAAGATTGAGACTGAGTCGGAACGCTATTGCTTTGGCCCTGGTGAGCCGATCACATCGAGTACGAGAGTCAGTTTGCCCATCGCAGTGCAAGGCGTGGCCATGGTGGTCAACACATCCACCATCGAGCAAGCCCCAGGACGCGCTCCAGTACCGTTCCTGGCAGGCCAAGATTGGCTTCTGTTCGTGAAGGCCATCATCGATGTGGGCGCTGGCACTTTTTCCATGCCGGACATTGGAGTCACGGCACCTTTGTTGATTGACCACACTGGTCATTTGGTCATCGCCACCGATGAATTTCCTGATGGCAAGTGGCCGCACGGCTTGAACCCCAAGGCCATCGGCTATGAGGGCATCGTTTTCGACCCTTACTGGGCCGACAGTTCTCAGCCCCTCGACGTTGACAAAATCTTCGTCAACGAGGGACCAGACCCTCTCGCTGGCCGTGAAATCTACGCGTCCGACCGCTTTGACCGCTTTGAGTCCACCAAGTTTGAGTCCACCAAGTACCACCTGAAGACTAGCCCCAACTATTTCTATGAGCCCAATGATGACGACTTCTTTTCCAACCAGAACCTCACTAGGGGCCCCTGCACGGTGAAACCAGATTATTGGGAGTTTCAGTTTGACAAAGGCATGATCATCCGCCACCACTGCAGGCCGAGAAGTCGCCTCTTCAGCCCTACGGACGACAGGTCCGGGCCTGATCCCGACACTTTGTCGCTCGATCGGGTTACTGTGGTGAAGGGCCTCAAAGATGTGGTTCGAGATGTTTGGACTCCGCTCGAAGCTCAACAAGAACTTCCTTTTGTTTGGACCGGCTTCACAGTCTTGTTTTTGAAAGATGTGTCAGTGCAGTGTCATTCACTTTTTTCAACCACAACCTGTAGCCGGCGTGGACATCGTTTTTCCTGATGGCAGTGAACATGTGGTCAGTGCCAAAAGTCTTCAACCCCATGCCAACAAGAAGATTTTGCAGTTTGACCTCGATGTCACTCCTCCCATCTTTGAGCGTGCCCCCCAGCAAGAGGTCTGACAGGTTCACGATCCCACCGAAGCAATTCGGCTCTCGAGCAGCCTCTCAGCGGCAGCTCACTCGTGAACATCGTCTTCGACCAGGTCTACATGGGCAACAAGCAAGCTCTGAGGGCATGGCAGCGCCTGATCATGGCCATCGAACGTCTTTGGATGCTCCTGGCCAGGTGGGAAGGCATCAATCTCGCCATCAGAGAGTTCAAGCACCGGTCTCCGGCCCTGATGGGCTACATGGAGGCAATGATGCGCCAACAGCAGCAGATGCCAGCGACGGTGCCGCCGGCGACGACCAAAGCAGCGGGTCAGACAGCCAAGGCCTTGCAATCGGCCTATCCGCTGCAGATCCCTCATTGCCCCCACGAGGTGGCGTCAGCTCGGCGCCTGGGCAATGCTCATGGGAAGTTTCTGGAATGCCTGGACTGCGGGCTGCTGAAGAAAGCTCTTCCTTCGGACTACACGGTGCCGATCAGCAAGGAGAAGGTCCCCGCGTATGCCTACCTCCACGGCTATCGTCAGCAGCCAGGCGCAAAAGCAACAAAGTTCGTCCTCAAGCCAAAGGAGGCGGCGTACTATGGCAACTTGGCCGATTGCCACTCGCTGTCCTCGCAACCGGCTTTGGAGGTTTCCATCAACGATGTGGTCTTGAAGAGGAAGGTGGACCCCAAAGCCAAGAGCAAGACCAAGCCAAGGCAATCTTCGCCGAAGCGCTCCTTGGCGACAGCTTCCAAGGACGAGGACGACAGCTGGGACAAGGTGATGGAGGTCAGCGACGAGGAGGAGTTCGATGGCTAGACGAACATGCTCCTGATCCCGACGATTGGCATCACCTCAAACCCGGCGCCCAGAGATGGCTGAAGCGCAACATGAGGCGAGCGCTCGCCATGAGCCGGGCCTCTCGCAAAGCAGTGCAAGACAAAATGGCTACCTCCAGTTGGCCAAGACGGACCTTTGGGTATGACATCATCGAGATCTTCGGCGGCGCTTCGATGATCTCACTTCGAGCAGGCCGCAACTGGGGATTGAAAGTCTTGCAACCTATCGACATCAGGTACGGTGTCGACCTTCGGCAGCGCAAGTGGAGACGTTGGCTCTTGCGCAAGCTAGATGTTTGGAACCCTCGCCTGGCCATTCTCGAGTACCCTTGCACCGTTTGGTCGATCCTGCAGCGCAACTGCAACTACCGAGACCGTCCAGAAGAACTCGCTGAACCTCAGGATGCCGACCGACCTTTTCTCCGGTTGTGCAAGGACGTGTTTGACAGTCAGATCCGGCGACATGGCCATGGTTTGTGTGAGAATCCAGCAACTGCGGACTCCCAGAACGAGGAGGACATCATGGCTCTTCGTCGGCAACATCATGAAACCACTTCGTGCCTGTGCCATTTGGCATGGCAGGACGACATGGCTTGCCGATGCTCAAGAGGGTTAGGTTCTTCATTGCCACTCACAAGCACTTCACCGACACCCTCAACCGGAAGTGCGACTTCAGCCATGAACACGAAGCAGTTGCAGGTTCCAATACAGCATTGTCAGCAGCATATCCACCTGACTTGGCCGATGCCATCTGCCGGGCTTACTTGGAGATCAACGAGGAAGAGGATTTCGGCTTGAAGCACACTTGGGACACCTATGAACCGCGAAGCTCCTACTTCGTGGACGTCGACCGCACAGAGGACAAGTGGATGCCCCTGTTCGACCTTGTGCAGGAGCAGCTTGCGAGAAAGGTGCAATCAAGCATGTTTTTGGACCCTTCCACCGACCTGTTCAGGAAGATTCAGGCCTTGACTCCCTGGCAGATCGCCAATGTTCAGCTGTCTCATCTTCCGAAAGCCAAGCGGGTGAGACCAGGACTGGAGAAGTGCCACAGAGCTTCCGTGATGATGCTCAACGATGGTTCCTTGACCATTGAGACCGAGTACTTGCCGGACGCTCAAGCACCTCGTGAACGTTTTGTCACTCCAGTTCGTTGGGCCATCTTCATCCTCGGGTATGCCCCGGGTGAGCCAAAAGAACCTTCACCAGCGGCACTAGCTCCTGAACAACATCTACATGAAGACCTTGTTGCGGTGGCCGATCCCGTGCACACCGCTCTTCAAGAAGAAGGCTTGGTGCGGCAAGATTTCGCTGGAGAATGTTGGTTCGTGGGCCCTCCGCTGACCAGTGCTCAGAAGAAACTGGCCGTTTCATTGGTCAGAATGCATCGCAACCTGGGCCATCCAAGACAGCCTGATTTCACAAGGGCATTGGCTCAGCAAGATCGACTAGAACCAGAGGTGTTGGCTTTGTCACGCCGTTTGAGGTGCGCTACATGTGAGAGAACCAAGAGGCCTTTACCTCCGAGACCTTCCTCACTGAAGAGCACACCACCGTTCAACACCAAGCTCTCCATGGACTTTGTCTACCTCCACGACGTGGATGGCGAGAAGTTCAGCTACTTGCACGTGCTAGATCCAGCTGGCGGCTTCAATGTTTTCGCCTTGGCGCCGAACCGCGAGCCCGCCACCACTCTGGACACCTTCGCCATGTCTTGGACAAATTGGGCCGGTTTTCCAAAACAGATCCGCCTCGACAGAGACGGCGCCTTTGAGGGCATCTTCCAAGAGAAGCTGACCAACATGGGCATCGAGCTGGACTACATCCCCGCTGAGGCTCATTGGCAGTCCGGAGATGTCGAAGCCTTCAACCGGGCGTTTCGCAACGTTGGAAACCGTCTCATTGATGAGTTCCAGGTGAAGGGCGAGCAAGACATGCGCCTTTTGGGCGCGCAAGTGGCAGCCTCACTCAATGACAGAGTCCGCATGAGCGGAGCATCCGCAAACGAATGGGTCTTTGGACGGAACCCTTCCTTCCCTGCGGACCTCCTTGACTTTGACGGCAAGGCAGAAGCTTTGATGGGCATGGACCGGGACTCCCAACTACGCTGGAGGCAATCAGTGCGATCTCGCGCTGATACCCTGATCTCCGAGTACCGGACCAACGAAGCCTTGCAGAAAGCAGTCCTGAGACAGAGTCGACCCCCTCGCCAACGTTATGAACCCGGTGAACTGGTAGCTTTTTGGAGGAACATCAAGAAGAAAAAAGGGCAAGCTCGTGCAACCGGGCTGGTTCAGAGGCACGATCATCGGGCCTCAGAAAGGCTCAGAAGAGGGCAAACAGTCCAACTACTGGGTCACCTCCAATGGCAGATGCATCCTGGTCTCTCTCGAGCAACTTCGACCAGCCTATGGGACAGAACTCTGGCCGATAGCCGAAGACGATTTGCAATGGTTGGAGGACAACATGCCCGACGGCTACTATGACGAGAGAGGAGATGCACCCATGCTGGACGATGACCAGGAGGTCAACCATGAAGCCATACAGGTTCCTTTTTACGAGCCTGCTGGCCCCGAGGAGAAGCCAGAAGAGACACTACCACCTCCTCAACCTCCTGAAGTTCCAGCTGGACACCAACAAGTACCAGATCAGCCGGCAGCTTCGTCAGCACCTTCAGATGCGACTCAACCGCATCAGAGCTCGCACTTGCATTCACGTGCTCCAGGCACACCCATCTCAGGCTTGTTCAAAGCCCACCACGAACGACAACAAGCACAAGAGCCTGAGGCCAAGCGGATGCGAGCAGATGAGGGGCTTCATCAGCCTCGACCTCACGAGATTCCGGTGCCAGACGATGAAGACTTTGACATGGGCCTTGAACCACCTCCTCGCCCACTCCACGAGACCGATAGTGTGCCGGATGAGCAGGTGAGTTCAGTGCTAGCGGCAGCTCTTGCAGAAGACAAATGGCATGTCTCCAATGACCGAGTGTGGTTGGTGAGAAGTCACAACAAGCCGAGACGGCGCCTCTTTTCCCCTTATGAGGCCATGGCTTCACCGGTAAACCCACACCGCTTGGGACAAGCTCGACAGACCAAGCTGAAGTTTGTCAACACCACCTTCACCTATGACCCCGACTCCGTGAAGGACCAGATCGTCGAGGACACTTGGGAGAAGGACAAGATGCAACCGGATAAGGGTCGTGCTTGGGTTGGCAAGACGCGCTTCCGCATCGCTTGCACCACGCGGAAGGAGCTCAAGCAACTTGAGAAGGAGATCCCATGGCACCTCATCCCAGACGAGGAGCGCGAGGGATACCGTGAAGCTTTGGTCAAAGAGTGGAGTGTTTGGCTCCGCTATGGCGCGGTTGTGGTCTTGGACCTCGAGGCCTCCCGCTACGTCGAGGACCATGTTGATGCTGCACGGATCCTCAACACCAGGGTCTGCTACAGAAACAAGAATGCAGCATATCCCTGGCTCCCTGTGAAGCACAAAGCTCGTTTGGTTTGCCGTGGTGACCAGGACCCTGACTTGACCACACTCCGGAGAGACGCTCCGACCATGAGCAGGGCTGGAATGTTTTGTTTGCTTCAATTGGCAGCTTCACATCCGGGCTGGTTCCTGTTCAACTCCGACATCACCGGAGCTTTCCTTCAAGGAGATCAGAGCTTGGCAGCCAGGAAAGAACCTTTGTTCCTGAAGCAGCCTCGTGAGGGCTTGCCTGGCATGCACCCAAAGCAGCTGATGATGGTGGTCCGCGGCATCTTTGGTTTGGCAAACTCGCCAAGACTTTTCTGGCGACACCTGAGGGACACCTTGATCAAGATCGGTTTCCGACAGAGCACACTCGATCGGGCCATGTTTTTCTACTACAAGGATGAGCGCCTCATTTTGGCCCTTGGTGCACACGTCGACGACCTCCTTGGCACAGGTGAGCCCGGCACCGCTGATCAGGTGTTGGATCAGATCAAGCAAGCATTCGACTTTGGAGCATGGGCTGATGACCGGACTGATGATGTCCTTGAGTACGGTGGCAAGCAGATCCGCCGCAAGTCCGATGGCACGATCCATCATGAGTCAGGACAAGTTCATCAGGGCTACATCAGTGACCCCAGTGCCAAAGTGGCGTTCGGCGACACCTAATGCCCCATTGCTGGCATCAGAGATGACCGAGCTGCGGAGTGTAGGCGGTTGTTTACACTGGATCGTGGGACAGACACGTCCCGACCTTGCAGCGGGCACCTCCATGCACATGTCAGGTCAGCCGACCGTCGAAAGCTTGCTGCAGTTGAACAAGCTTCTCAAAGAGGCCAAGCAGTCCGAAGATTGGGCCTTGCAGTTCCGCCCCATAGACCTGGAGAAGTCCATGGTGGTTGTTTTTTCGGACGCCAGCTTTGCCAACACAGAGGGCCTTCGGTCGCAAGCCGGATACCTCGTGTTCGTGGCGGAAGACACGGCTTTGACAGCCGATGGTGGTCGCGCTTCCTTGATGGATTGGCGATCTCACAAGATCAAACGCCAATGCCGTTCCACGTTGGCCGCTGAGACAATGAGCCTCGATGCAGCTGTGGACTCCGGCCTTTACATCCGGGAGATCCTTGCTGAAGCTTTGATTCAGGACTATGTTCCTTGCCAGTCAGGTCGCCTGCCAGCTTCCTTCATTCCGATGGCGGCCGCAACGGATTGCAGAAGTCTGTACGACCTGTTGGTCAAAGACAGCGCTTTGTCCACCACCCAGGAGAAGAGACTGGCAATAGACATAGGTGGTCTCAAAGAGACAGCCGCTGAATTTGATGAGCAGCAGGAACAGTTGGCCGATGTTTACAAGTGGGTGGATACTCACCACCAAATGGCCGACCATTTGACCAAGCAGAAAGCACCTGCTTTGCTCCGAGAGCTTTTGGATGAGGGTCGGATTGCACTCAGAGCGATCGAAGAACCAGCTTCTCACGAGTTTTTTACATAATAGGGAGTGCAGTTTCGGCATGCATCCATGAGCTGTTTGTACATGTTCATGTACCGCCGCTAGGGCCCTTGAGCGCATAGCAAAACGGGTGCGCAGCCCCGATCGTCATGTCGTTGTGAACCCGACACCTTTCCAGAGGGTTTGTGCATCGACCCCAAGCTCCACATACACCTCAATCGAACTCCGTCGATTGCATCGTTAACCCCC